GTTTCTTTATTTTATGTTTAATCTTCCCTCCTAAAAAAAAGAAGTGGTCCAAGCTCTTGATTAAAAAAAAAAAAAAAAAAAAGCTGAAAATATCAGGTTTGTCTTAATTTTGCTAACTCTCTGTCCTTATAAAGCCTCTATCTGTTTGGGAGCTAGAGAAAATAAACAAATACATAATAAGTATTTAATAATGAAAAAAGCAAACATTTATCAAGCACTTACTATGTGCCTGGACAAGTGCTTTAGATGTTAATGAATAATTTAAACCTCACCACAGCCCAATGAGATCATTACTATTATTATACTCATTTCAAAGATGTAGAAAGTTAAATAACTTGTTGTCTTTTTGTTTGGACATGGGAAACCACATGATAAACCAATAAAAATTACATAAGTAGGCTCACTGGCATACTATTAAATAATGAAGTGGGAAAAGGTAAGGCTTATCTGCATTTAACCAATTCCATCCTCAGTGTTTACTGAGCACCTACTATGTGCCAGGTACTATACTAAGCTCCTGATATACTCCTGTGAACAGGACAGCTATATCTCTTGCCTTTACAGTTTACACAGGTATATACACATTTGAATTCATAATTATTTTTCATAGCAAATATTTCTCTGTGTTATTCTTCCTTTAGAAGATAAAATCCCTTGAGACTTATACCACATCTTCTCCACAGTCTAAACCACCATCAAGTGCCACAGCTATAAGAACTGCCTGCAACAGTTTTCCAGTTTATAACATTAGATTCCCAAATTCTCAACTACAAATGAATAAATACTACGAGACTGCAGTGCAGTGAATTACTTAATATGGCCCTTCTAGCCATAGTCTTTGTAACTCCTACCAAATGTCTGGGTGGGACTATGCAAATGAGGTACTTGTGGCCCACCAAGGGGACTGGATAACATGTTAATAATGTTAATAAGGTGGATGGTACCCTTGTGGGGGTAGAGCCATGCAACTAAGTTGTAAGAAACCCTAATGAGGAGACTGGTCAGTTTTGCCATCCACTAGGCTTAAAATGAGCCATCCCAGAGGTCGGGAGGGAGGATCTCACCACCACTAAAAAAGAAGAGCCAGGAGTGGGGCGAGTCCTTTGGACCCGGGATGCCTGTGCTGAGAAGCTCCTGGAACCAGGAGAGCGAGAGAGAGCAAGGGCAGTAACACCAAAGATGGGGAGAAGCAGCAGCCGAGAAACAGTGGCAGCAGAGGCAAGAGAACAGCAAGAGACCGGCAGGAGACCTTGCGGTGGGCAAGAAAGTTGAGTGCCTTCGGGTAGGAGGCTTGCTGCTGAAGTAGGGTGCCTCTGGGCACTTGGCAGAACTAGGTTTGCCAATCCACAGAGCTAGAGCTGAGTGCCTTTGGGCTGAGGCTTACTGCGAGAGTGGAGTGCCTCTGGTACTTATTGAAAGAGCTAAAAGAGCTTTTTTTAACACTTGTCCAAACACAGTAGAGGCCAAGGGGCCAGAAAGAGGCATGCCTGTAGGCACGGCTGAGAAGAGGCTGTCCTGATCGAAGAATTGTATCCTGAGCATTCCTGAACCTGAATTGTGACCTGTTACTTACCTAATAAACCCCATTATCATGAGTATTGTCTATGAGCTCTGGGTGCCCATTGTAACAAATTATTGAACTCAGCAGAGAAGTAGAGTACTGTGGGAGGGACAGTTGGGTGTCAGAACTGGTTAAACGGTTGGAGGGTAGAGGCATGTCTGACATTAGCCTCATAGGAATCAGCCTTAGGCTATTGATCTTGATTCTCCTTCCTCCTTGCCAAGTTAGAAGAGCTCAGATGCCCCACCACACCATTTCTACAGAGACCAACAAACATTAACAAAGTAGGAGAAATATTATCTCACCTCAGTCAAACATCTGGATGTGCTTCCATATTCTATCTTCTCTACAGAAGCAAATGTTTGTCATTTTCTATTTTAGCAGCACCTGTCTGCTAATGACACTAACCTTAGAGGCACATAGATTTCAAGTGCATTCAATACTAAGTTTTATAGCATATCTCTTTTAGAAAGGAGGGAGTTATTGGGCTTTCATTTCCACTTTCTAAGTCTACAACTGGCTTGGGTTATTTCTTGCCCATTTCACAATAATAACAATAGTCAACAAATATGCTTCCATATTTGATGTATAAAACCATTTAACCTAAGTAGTACTATCCTATCTATTTTCATATAAAACTTTCTCTTCCAGATTTTTCTCTAATAATTATATATTTTAACAAAACTAGCTAATTCCAATGCATGGCTTTCAATAGGTCTTTTTTTCTAGATTATCAGAAGCTAACATTTTTTCAGCAGCTTTCAGAGAACAAGAGTGGGTTTACCCATTGCTTTACATGCCCATAAGCCAGCAGGCAGCAAGTCCCAGTAACCACCTATGAGTCAGTCTTCTATATACAGGATGAAAATTCCTACTCTTACCACTAACGTATTCGTTTCCATTCCAAAGCAAAGGATACTCTGAAATACCAGGGTGTTGTCTCTACTACACATAGCAATATAATTTCATTGTGGGAACAAATGTTAACCAACACCATAAGAAATTCATTCATGAACCAAGTGTTTAATATTTATTCTCCATGGATACTGCAAGAAGTAGGGGTTAGGAAGACATTTCTGTGTAGAACTTAAACTTCAAAATTTAAAACCTAAGTTATTATCTACTAATACTTATAATAAAACCAAAACCAAACCAAACTCATTGCCATTGAGTCGATTCCAACTCATAGGGACCCTATAGGACAGAGTGGAACTGTCCCATAGGGTTTCCAAGGAGTGGCTGGTAGATTCGAACTGCCGACCTTTTCATTAGCAGCCAAGCTCTTAACCACTGTGCCACCAATAAAGTAATCCTTAATTATTTTCCTAGCATCCTCAAGAGTGATATTGATTGAATTATTCCAGAATGTTTAGCTGTAAATTCTATAATAAAAACAACAGGAAACACAGCCTTCACTGTTCAAAAAAAACATATCTCTTCCTATACAGCTCTCATCAGCTTCCATACATCTGAAAGGAGCTTGCCTAACAAGTTTGGCAGGTGTTACAATTACTTACTTTTAGTTACCTTCCATCTCGGAAGAAGTACGGCCAGAATACTCCTTAGAAGCAAGGATGAGGAGACTATGTCTCACATACTTTGGACATATTATCAGAAGTGATCAGTCCCTGGAGAAGGACATCATGCTTGGTAAAGTAGAGGGTCAGTGAAAAAGAGGAAGACCCGCTACGAGACGGATTGACACAGTGGCTGCAACAATGATCATGAGGATGGTGCAGGACCAGGCAGTGGGGTCACTGTGAGTCGGAACCAACTCAACCACAGCTAACAACATAACAACTCATATATGGTTTGAGTAAATGGTGTGTGCGTGTGTGTGTATACGTATATGGTTTGCACGAACACTACTGCTTCCGTATTTGACATATAAAATTATGTAACCTAAGTAGTACTATCCTACCCAATTTATTTTCATATTAAAACTTTCTCTTCAAGACTTTTCTCTAATAATTATGTATTTTTACAAAACTAGCTAATTCCAATGCATGGCACAAAACGTGTAGTCAGGCAAACTAAAATGGAAAATTAAATTATTTAAAAAACCACAGAATGCTGGGAATGGGATGAACCATAGAATTCATCCAATTTAACCCTATGGTTTCAATGATGAGGAAACTCTAGCCCTAGAAGATTACATTACTCCATGAATCGTAATGAAAAAAGTAAAAAAAAAAAAAAAAAAAAATCAGCTGCACAGTTTGCTTCAATTACTTAAAACATTAATTTTCAAATGACATTCCTCTGGGCATAGGGCTCCGCAGAAGATCTCAAGGGCCACATGGGGGTAAAAGGTTCTAGGCTCCCCATCTCCTCTTTAAGCAGATCAGGTCTCCTTTTACCCGTTTCATCTTTGAGGATTCAGCATAAAATCCCACTGGAAGGAGGCAGGCCACCACTTTAACAAGTCCAATAAACACTGCTTCAGATAACTTAGTCAACTTTGTCTTATTTTTTTCCAATTCCTAACTAGACATTTTTCATTCTAACACTCCCAATAGCACCATGGAAAGGGGAAGAAGTCAGGGGAAGTGAGAGGTTCAGTCCTGTGGCCCTCAAACAACAAGAAGACTCAGAGGCTAATTGAGCCCTGGTTCCATTAGGAGTTGCACAGACCCCGAGCTGTCATCTTAAATTTTCCAAATAGACCCCGAAACTCTCACGAGCACAACCATCGGGATGGTGCCGTGAGTACTGTGGTTCAAAAGCACTAAGGACAGTGCCATGTTTATAACAGATACTGATAACTCTGTGTGGTGCTCTTGTGCCTGCTTTAGGAAACTCTGGCTCTGGAACAGTTACGCAGACCCCACCTGATTTCGTTTACTTTTTCATCTTCAACACAGAACATCTCACTTCTACGGTCACCAGTCACAAATCATTACTAAAGGAGGCTAATATATCTGTGTTTCTACCTAACATGTGTATTGCCTTTCAATTTATCGAAACACCCAGGAAGAATACCAACGTTTCTCACAATAAAATTTAAAGTACTGGGCCAGTCATTTTATCTGATAAGTGTTGCCAAAAAAGTTATTAAATTAAAACCAATTACTCTTATTTTCTTTTTAATCATAGCATAAACATTTTGTTACAGGAAATACCCCTTAGAGGATCTTTTTATAACTGGATTGATTTAAGGACCTATGGATTATAAAATACAGTTGGACTGATATTTATTTAGCAGACCTCTAAAAAAATTTTCAGCGGTGAAGATTTTAAGTTATCTTTAAAAAAGATTTATAAATTACATTATAGTACAAAACACTCTGAAATGCAAAGGTTAAAAGTCTAAGTACAAGAAAAGGAACCATATTCTTATAACCCATGTCCTAAAGACACAAGTATCTAAAATGTTCAGTTATAAACATATGTTTTACTATTCTGGTATTCTTTAAAAGGATCAAAGTAAAATACTCACAGTTACTTATCACTCCTCCCAGAGGATCACCTTTAAAGTCAAATTCAATATCCATATATTTGCCCTGCCAAAGAAAGACTCTGTAAGTTTTCAAATTCATCCAAAAAAAAATCAGACAGCATTATCTTCTTTGAGAATAGCATAAACCAAAAACTAAACCCATTGCCATTGAGTTGACTCCAACTCATAGAGAATAGCATGTTGTTGTAAGGTGCCGTCGAGTAGGTTCCAACTCACAGTGACCCTACAGGACAGAGAAGAACTGCGCCATAGGTTTTTGAAGGAGCAGCTAGTGGATCTGAACTGCCGACCTTTTGGTTAACAGCCAAACTCTTAACAACTATGCCACCAGGCTCCAGAGTAAACCCTTATTTTTTTCTAACTTTTTTTTTATTATGCTTTAGATGAAAGTCTACAGCACAAATAAGTTTCTCATTCAAAAATTTATACACAAATTGTTTTGTGACATTGGTTGCACTCCTCACAATATGTTAGCACTCTCCCCCTTTCCCTTTCCACCCCAGGTTCCCTGTGTCCATTTGTCCAGTCTTCCTGTCCCTTTCTGCCTTCTCATCTTTGCTTTTGAGCAAGTGTTGCCCATTTGGTCTTGTAGACTTGGTTGAACCAAGAAGTATGTTCCTCACATGAACTGTTTGTTTTATAGGCCCGTCTAATCTTTGGCTGAAAGGTGGACTTTCGGAGTGGCTTCAGTTCTGAGTTAGCAGGGTATCTGGGGCCATAGTCTTGGGGGTTCCTCCAGTCTCTGTCAGACCAGTAAGTCTGGTCTTTTTTTTTTTTTCTGGTGAATTTGAATTGTGTTCTATATTTTTCTCCCACTCTGTCCAGGACCCTCTACTGATCCCTGTCAGAACGTAAGCCCTTATTTTTATGCATTTTATGCATTTATTTTAGTGCAATTAAGAACTGCACAGCTTATGTAACCATGACAAAAAAACAATATACCTTCATAAATAATTCATACTAAGTAACTCATTAGCTCAAAGCTAATATATCCTGTTGCTAGTATTTAAGAATACATCTCAGCCATCACATGACTTTCCCCTTTCAGATAGGGGTTTCAAACTCATGAAGAACACATGTATTCCAGAATAGCAGCTAGGAAAATAAGAGTTAGTCCTTGTATATGCACTGGTTGAGACAATAAACTATTTCATTTTAGTAGGTGAAATGTGTTTTAAGCCGTGGCTAGAAACTCCAAACAGACTGAACAGTGGATGAAATGGAACACTCAAAGTTCTCTTCTTATAGCTCCTCAAATCAAACACACGATTATGTGGTGGTCCAGCACAGATTTTAAAGACTGATGACTCTCATTCTTGCTGACTTTTTAGCTAGATTACACAGCAATACATAACTCAGTTTCATGTTACGCTTTATAGATGGTGTCTTAAACACACAGAAACACACATGGCGTTTCAAACTGTGATTTCTAAAGAATTGGCCTATACTTGCCTAGTTAAAGAGTAACAAGTAAACCTGACAGCTGTTTCTTGTTTGGAAAAGGGTGCGCTGATCTAATAAATGAAGTCTTTGGTTTTGTTTCATGTCCTACCAAAGTAATAGTCAGACAGACGGCTTGTAAGTAATTCTCCCTCAGAACACTGTTGACTCTAACTTTCAAAATGATGTTTAATGCTCAGTCAACAATGCACTTTATAACTTTTTATTAGCTCATGCATCCTCCCTCACCTTCTCCTTTTTCATTGTAAGGAGTCATCTGCCCTTGTGAGTCATAACTTCTGCATTCATCAAATGTCTACCAAGCACCTCCTCGATACTGAAGTTGACACAATGGAAAAAAGGCACAGCTCGTGCCCTCGAGGAGTTTACAGTCTAGTGGGGGTAAACAGGCATTATGGTGTAGGGGGTACCCCTTACAGTGGGTCATGGTGCTATGGAGGCACAAAGAACAGGGAGCAACGCAAGAGCAGGAAAGATTTCCCTGAGGAAGCCCACCCCAACTTAACCCTGAAGTACCGGGAGATTAGCTGGGCAAAGAGGTGGGTGAGTGTGAAGGAGAAGATGTAAGAATTGGCATCTATGAAGATGATGAGCAGGGAAATGAGCTGGAGAGGGAAGCTGGAGCACATCATGACTTTTGAGACATTCTCCTGAGAGCAATGTGATGCCACGAAAGGTTCCTAAACAAGGATGCCATGATCAGACCTGCCTATTTACAAGATCACTCTGGGTAAAGTAGAGAATGGACTGGAAAGGAGCAGGACCAAGTGTATCAAATATGTGAGAGATGTTGGTGGATTTAACTGTTGTTGTTGGGTGCTGTGCATCCCCATGTGTCAGAGTAGAACAGCCATGTAGGGTTTTCTAGCCTCATTTATGGGAGTAGATCTTTCATCTGCAGACTGACTGGTAGGTTCGAACTGGAGACCTTCCAGTTAACAGTCAAGCGCTTAACCAATGCACCACCAAGGCTACAAGTAGCAAAAGAGAAAAGTAAACAGATATGAGAGCTGCTCATAGAGTCACAAAGACAGGGCCTGGTTGGCCATGGGAAGTAAGAGAGGAGGGGGGCCAAGGATAAAAAGTCCAGGAAGGTGGCCCAGGCAACTGAGTGGATGGTGATGCCCTCCATGATGGTGGGGACACAGGAGGTGGAGGAACTTCGAAGGCAGGTAGAAATGAGAACTTTACAAGATTTGGAGGTTGACCATGTAAAAGGGGATAATTTAGATAGAAGGTAGTCCCTGGGCACAGGAGGTGATAGGACCTTGAGCACAGGTGAAGGGATTAGTATGAGCCAGGAGTCAAGAGTCTTCCAGTATGACAGAAGGTTGTGTATACAGGTATACATACAGGTGAGGCACCAGAAACAGAGTTAATTCTGTCTAAGAGCTTGCACTGGTGCTGCTGCTGTTGTTATTTCTGTGAAGTAGGGGTAATATTGTCAGTTGAGAGCAAAGGGTAGGAGGTTTGAAGACCACAGAATAAACACTGTAAAGAATGGAAAAGGAAGCCAACCAGGGACAAACAAACTATTAGACAGCACTGGGAATTTAGCTGATACCGAAATGGCATCCTTTTTGTTCAGCCACGTTGTGATTATTCCCCCAAAAGCTTGTTTCTGATCATGTCACTAGTCTACTCAAAATAACCAGTGACTTCCCAGTGCTTCTTACAGAATGAAGTCTGAGACCCTGAACCTGACACTCAAAGTTCTCCAAACTGTGGCCTTGACTCATCTTTTCAGCCCTTTGGTTGCAGTTCCATTCACACATCTTTGGCTCTAGCCACTAACTGGCAAATGCAGGTCCAATCTGGTTTCTTTCTTCAGGCTTCCTCTCGCTGTAATTCCAGCTCCTCCTGCTCGAGCCTCATGAGGAACTTATTTATTATTCTATGCGTTATGCTTAAATATGTCCAACTTTCCTCACTAGTTTATTAGCTTAAAATATTCGTTCATCAATAAATATTTTCTGAGTGTCATTTATGGTGCCAGCATTGTTGTAGCTACTGGGCTGCCGCAGTGAACAAGAGGGCAGAGGTACCTGCTCCTATGACCCCTACTCCATAGGGTCAATCAACACATAAATAAGAGATGTGAATACAATAATTCCAGAGACTAATAAGTGTCTGAAGAAAATAAAAACAGGATGAAGTCACAGAGTGGCCCAGGAAAGGCCTCACAAAAGCAACATTTGAGCATCATGCAGAAGGATCTAGAATTGCAAAAGCCTGAGGCCAGAAAGCGCTTGGCGTGCCTGAAGTCACAAAAGCCGTTGTGGCAGAGGTAGAGTGAGCAAGGGCTAGGAGTGCGAGACGAGGTCGGGGTGGTGGCAGGTCCCAGCTCATGCAGGGCCTGGGAGGCCCCAGGAGGGAAGGAGCAGTGACGGGACGGGACTTAGGTTTGTAAAGATCTCTCGAGCTGCTGGTGGAGAAAGGACTGCAGGCCTTAAGAGAAGCAGGGAGACCAGGTAGGCACTCAAACACACATTTTAAACAACTGAATAAATTTTGTGTTTTTTTATCCTTACTGGATGAGAGGCTGGTAATGAAATTTTCCTAACTCTACAGGTTCTCCCCTTACCCTCCAGCGCCTAGCTCAGCTCTTGTTACATAGTAGACGCTCAACATATAACTCCCCCTCAGAAAGCCTTGGTTAACAGCAGTGATTTTTCAAAGTTTTAAAGTGTTTTTTCAAAAGCAGTGGGTCTCTTTTTTAATATAAGCTCAGTATGTCAAAGAAGTCAAACTAGAGCTGCTTTGGGGAGAGGTGGCGGCACTATGAGGCACCTCCCCCAGAACACTAGTCCAAAATGTCAGCTATAATGAGCATTAATAACTGTAATATGGCAGGGTACTACCAGATTTCCCAGGGACGAGATCAAGAAGGTCATTCTGGGTTTTAACCAGTCAAACACAGATGAAGAAACTGCCATTTCCCTAAAAAGCAAATGTATAGTACATAGACCACCATTATACACAGCAGTAACTCTAAATACAGGGGAGCCCTACTATAAAAGCATAACATGGATTTATGGGTTTGGCCAAGTGATATTATTGGTCAAGTTAGAGACTACAAGGCAGAGAAATTACTAAAAACTGAGTATGAAATGAGCCTATAATCAGGTATTAATTTCATATTCCAATACCCGTGTTATAATAGGATTCCCCTGGAGTTACTTACACAATAAGCCAAAGCACTTGCCAAGCTTTTCAGCAGATTTAAAATATTACTAAGTAGTAATGACGCTTTAAGCTGTTTTCTGCGTTTTTAAGGTTCTATACACTAAATATATTTGCAGACATTAAAAAAAAAGTATGTGTATATGTGTATAATTTGCAAACAGTTAAAATAAAATCTCTATCACATAATGAACCTTGATCTGTTGGAACTACTTCTCTGTCCACACTTCACTTCTAATTCTATTTACGTAATGAGATTAGCCATGTTACTACAACAGGAAAAGGCATGGATCAAATCAGTTATAACTACTTAAGGGGCTAATACAACGGAAAAAATTCACAGTCTTAGAATTAGAAACCTTAGCCTTCCACTTTCTAAGCTAGCAAAATTATCTCCATTTGAGGTCATTTTCTTGCCGTAAGCACTGGATAACCACAATGAGGAAAAAGTAAAAGGGGACTAGAAGGAGGCGGGGAGAAAGGGTAGGAAGAGCCCTTCCTCCCTGCTAGTAGGAAAGCATAAAAGATCATCAAACGTGGCTCCTCGCAGCACAAGAATTGCATGTCTGTTCTCTGAGGTGAGAACGCTGCCTATTATCAAGTAAATGATTTTTTATTATAAAAATTTATAAATCTGGTTAAACTACAGAAAAAAGGGAGCGATTTCAAAATATCACCATCACACTTGACACATTTCCCCCAGCTGCTTCCGGCAGTGTTTGTGTCTTTATAAAGACCAGAGGCTTGAAAGTGCAGGCACAGCTGGAAGATCCAACAGCAGATGTGCAAAGATTTCCAGAGATGGGAGAGGAGGCTGGCAAGGTGTGCCAGGCCATGCTTCTATTAGTTGCATGAGCATTGTTCAACTCAGGCAAGCTCAAAACATCAATTAGCTTCAAATCCCTCTAAAAAATTTTAGAATCCACTCCATTCTTTTTAGTCCCACTGAATAAAAGACTAGAAATGTAGAGAACCCAAATTTGACACCCATTTTACAATTCTTTTACTTAAGTAATTTCTTCATTATGATTTCAAAATACTAAAACTCAGATATGTGAAGAGTAGAGTTACCATGAGTCTGAATGGATTCAACAGCAACTAACGAGAACATTCTAAATAAGCCTCATCTAAATTGTTCATGGGATTTTATGGTAGGAAGAGGTAACCAAACAAGAAAAAGAAAAAAAAAGCCTAACGGTCCAAGAAGAATTAAAAAGGAAAAAATAATCCGTATAGTACTTCCAGTGTTTCAGTAGAGATGGAATTCTTATTTTAAAAATCTGTGTATTAAGAAATATTAAACTTCTACTAGTTGTTTAAACATACATGAGCTAAATATTAGTGTTAACACTTATACAAATACTTACGAATCTAGAGGAGTTGTCATTCCTTACAGTTTTGGCATTTCCAAAAGCTAGTAAGGAAAAAAAAAAAAAAAAGATGCAGGGTTAAAATTAACAGAAAAATAATTTCAAGCAGAAAGATAGAGCAAATATAGTATTTGACATCTATAAATCCTGGAAAATACAACTTGTACCAATGAGGTTTCTGTCCAAAATTTCCATAGAAATATACTTAACAGAAGTCTTTAATAAGTTGCTAAAGCTTCCGTCTTATTATAAGTTTAAAAAAAAAAGAAAGTGCCATTCCTATGATTCATGGAATTTTTTCATGTATTACTGTAAACTTAATCTTGTCAAATTCAACACCTTTTAACTCTTTCAGATAGTAGTCAATTTAGTGGCCAGCAAGCAAGGCTTTCTACACTCTTCCATCATTATTATCATTTACTTATCAAGTTATTTCAGAAACTATGCAATATTATCAAAAATTTTATGGAACATAGTGAGGCTTCCAGATTATGGAAAAAGACATAAAAAACTTTAAATTGTTTAGTTAATTTTAAAATAAAGCAATTTATATGTAATTAATTATATAACTCTGAAATACAGAAAGAATAAGAGATTTGGAAACTAGTTTCTAATATGCTAAATGTGCTACATAGCTTCATTACTTTATGTCCATCAGACTTAAGTGAAACTTTCCAGGAAATAAAGAAAATCAAATTGGCACATAATGCAAAATACAAGTTTGTTCCAATCTTAGCAGCTTCCAGGAGAGGGAATCTCCCTCAGGGCTCCCTTTTAAATGAGGGCACATAAGAACCATGGGGTTGGTGCTGCTCCAGGCACACAATGTTCCAGGTAATATCCCAGAGTCAAAAGGTAAAAAGATTTTTTCACCAAGCCTGTGCACAAGGGAAGGGCAAATGAATCTGGTCCGTGGTACCAAAACCCAATCCGCTGCGGTCGAGTTGATTCCGACTCATAGTGACTCTATAAGACAGAGTAGAACCTTCCCCACAGGGTTTCCAAGGAGCAGCTGGTAGATTCAAACTGCCAGCCTTTTGGTTAGCAGCCCAATGCTTAACCACTGTGCCACCAGGGCCCCAGACCATGGTAGTATATGACTAAACAACAACAAAAAAAACAGTTTCTGTCAAGTCATTTCTGACTTATGGCAACCCTGTATTTGTCAGAGTAGAACTGTGCTCCATAGGGTTTTCAATGGCCAATTTTTTGGAAGTAGATCACTAGGCTTTTCTTCTGAGGCACCTCTCGGTGGATTCGAACCTCCAACCTTTTAGTTAGTAGCCAAGCACATTAATCATTTGCACTCCCAGGGACTCCTATGTCCACCACAAGGTAAAAGGCTTTAATACACACAACCTTGATAACAGTGAGGGTTGACCTGGCTGTCATGAAAACCATGACATTTTTAGTGTTTTCACAGGCTAGTACTTTGTGGTGAGTGTGAACATGTAAGGCTGCCAAGTTAGCTAATTTACACAGCCCCAAAGTCCAGCTCAAGAAGCTGGTGCATAAAGAATGGTTTATTGTAGCTTGAAGGTCAAGGGCAAATGAAAGAATTGCTTCAAAAAACTTTACTCAGGGCACTATTTGCAGGCCATAAACCTTCTTTTCATCAAACAAATCTGAGTTGCACATTACTAAACAACAGCCCCAAACACTGAAGTCCTTTATTGTAAGCCAGAGAATCAAAAACAAGTGTTCCATTATAGAACACGCAAGACACATTCCTCAATTGTTTTTTTAAGTTCATTGTTCTGAATGTTCATTTACAGTAGCTGCTCCAGTGAAAAAGTAAAGCATTCCCATAAAAGATAATACATGCCCACAGTAGACATTTCTTCCATTTCCTGCACTGGAACCTAGTTTCAAATACCAACACATAAAGAGCCAGATTCTAATCAAAGATGCAAGCTATAGCATTCCACAGTGCTTCTCCTTTAGATCACAGCATTCTTAAAACAAGCATACACAGAAATACAGCATATGTACAGCACCCTAACCTTTAAAGGCAAAAGACAGAAGACAAAAGTCAAAGATTAGAACAATCAAACGAAGATAAAACATTTTCTATAATAACGTCTCTGTTACTTAAGGTGTTGAGGGGAGGAAAGATCAACAACGTAACCGATGATTTGGCATTTGCTTCTCAGAGCTTTAAAGTACTTTTATAACTTTAAAAGTACTTTCATCATTTCACTACCTGGGGGATAAATCTGTGTGGTGTCTTCTTGTAATAAAATGGGAAACTGAAGCATGAAGATGTGTCTGGGGTCACAGTGACTGCTCAGTATTCAGGAGCCCTCCGGGCATCCTTGGAAGAGAAGGAGAAGCTGGGCCTAAGTATCAGAGACAATGGAGTCCCTGGGTGGTGCAAACAGTTACCACTCTCTCTGCTAACTGAAAGGCTGGAGGTCTGAGTCCACCCAGAGGCACTTCAGAAGAAAGGCCTGGCAATCTACTTCTAAAAAATTGGCCACTGAAAGCTGCTATGGAGTGCATTTCTACTCCGACACACAGGGGTCACCGTGAGTCAGAAATGACTCAAAGGCAAGTGGTTAACCAAAGACAATGGGGCAGGGTTCTGTCCCTCCACACTGGGGTGTGCCCCCACCCACCCCCAGCAGCTCTGCTGTAATCTGTGTTAAATATCGACCTTCCATGACTTTGAAAAACGGTTGAACTAAACTATTCCTCTAGCCTAGTGATTCTAAACCAGTGACAATGTTTTCTCCCTAAATTTTATTTATTTTGTTATTGTTGTTCAGAATATACACAGCAAAACATACACCAATTCAACAGTTTCTACGTGTACAATTATTACATTCTTCAAGTTGTGCAACCATTCTCACTCTCCTTTTCTGAGTTGTTCCTCTATTAACATAAACTCACTGCCCTCTTAGGTTCCTATCTAATCTTTCGAGTTGCTGTTGTCAATTTGATCTCATATAGTTCTTACAGGAGCATAATGCTCAAGGCAGACCTTTTTTACTAGTTAAGCTAAACTACTGCTCAGTTTTAAGATGACTTCAGGGGATATTTTTGGTTTTTTAACAGGGGTGATTTTGACCCCCCAGGGGACATGTGACTATTCTAGAGATATTTTTGTCACAATGGGGAAAGGGTGATGCTACTGGCACCTAGTGAGTAGAGCTAGAACGCTGTTAAACTTCCTACAAAGCACAGGGCAGCCCCCACAACAAATTATCCACCCCAAATGTCAATAGTGTCGAGGTTGAGAACCCCGCTCTAACCCAACAACCATGCTAACTGACAATAAAGATAGCATTGGCTCACTATCAATAAAAGAATTTGATTTATTGTCTCCAATGTAAGGACGGTCTATATTGATGGTTTATGCCATCCTCCATGCGTTAAGGTGGCTCTCTCTGGCCTTGTATTTGGATGGCCAACCATGGAATTTGTGAGTTCTAGGGTCAGGTATAGGCTGTTTTCTGTGGCCCTGAAAAAAAACTAGTCCTTAAGTGGTTCTCTGGCATGGCCCTGGATTCCCTGACAACAGAAATAAACAGCCACAGGATTCATCCTAGTGATAAAGCAGCACTGCACTCATAGAGCTCTCTTCCACCAAGCTCTTCCCAGCCACCGTATCAAATGCAAATATCAACTTTTTAAATAATTAAATAAAAATTGACATGGAACAACGTATTGTAGGTGGGAAAGCACCTTTTACAAGAGTTAACTGTTCCTTTCCTTCAGCACTTGAAGCCAAGAGTTCCTAGGATGCAGGTTATTTGCTCTGCAGAACTTGGCCCCAATTCTCTTCCTTCTTCTTCCCTCCCAGCACCAAGGAGTCCTGAAAATTGGATCTAATGTTCGAGTCACACCAACCTAATATACGCAGGAAATCCTACCTTCCAGGACTGGGTTGGACTGTAGAAGCTGTTCTTTGACTTGATTAACTTCTGCTCCTTTTCCACAAACAGCTGCTACATAGGACATAACAAGCTTGCTGGCCTCTGTGGATAAAAATAAGGCATATTAATAAATTAATCAGAAGTTTCAAAAATCTTGGAGGGGTATGGGGGTGGGGAGCAGACCCACTAAAAATGCTTTCTGGAGTAAATGTTTCAGAAACCTTTTAAATATTTTTATACCTGGGAGTAAACAACGTTTAAGAAACCTTTTAAATATTAATGTCTCCATTCAATAAAATCTCATTAATTCTGATCATAACAGTGCTTGAAAGTTATCACTGGGCTGTCAAAAAAAACTGCTGGGTAACATAAGCAACAAAATCTCAGGAGAAATATCTTCTGGAAGCAATTATTTATATACAGTTACTACACTAAATATAGACAATTCAAGCCAAAAATAACCAAGTAACCTGGATATCTTTACCAAATGTATTTTAAAGTTCAAAAGAACCACTTTTCCTCAAAAATATTTTCTAAATTAAACTGGTATGCCCACATTTAGACCAAATTAATTACTCTTTAATTCAATTAAAAAACTAAACAGCTAATAATAAGGGCTTGATAACAAAAAATACAAACTTTTCGGGGCACTGTGATTTTCATAGGCTTCACACTAGTAACGCTGTACCAGGTAAACTGCTGAAAGAAGCAGGCCACTGCAAGAATACAACTAATTCTTAGCACAAACTGGCATGGTGAACAAAATCTGGTTTGGGTGGCTTTGCCCTTTCCCTATCCGTTTCATGTCCCCTCCCTCAGCATCTGTCTCCTAGAACCTAACCCTTTTAACACTAAGTTCCAAGAAATGTTAATAGCTATACAGAAAAAATGGGGTCCAGAGTCAAACGAATTTGGGGCGACAATGAGTTAGAGGGAGTGAAATAGTTCTCCTTATTACAGGACTTCTCAGAGGCTTTAATATGCTCGAGTACATGGTGGAACTCTCGAAAAGGATCTAGAATGCTGCATTTATTTAGCCATGTGATCTGTTTTTTGTCAAGATGTCCTAGTTCTAATGTTCTATAATCAGGCTCTGGGAAATGCTCAACTACTAAATGTAGGAAAAGCAGAACATAACTTCCTTGTCTGGTCAGTCAAGGTGAGGAAACCAATCTCTTCAGACGTTGCTTTGTCTGAAGTCTTTGCTCTGGTGCTACCATCCGAGGGCAGAAGAGTTTCCCCGGGTGTGAGTGATGGTTTCTCTGCTGATGGGCCCAATGGGGCAATGACAACCCTGCCATTTCTCATGGAATGACCTGTATATGGGTGGCTTCCAGCCCCACTTCCCATAGTTGAGGAAGTAATAAATGAAAACTGGATTGTCATCTTGGTCATGTCCAACTGTGCTTTTTAAAGGGCCTTTAAGCAATTCAAAAGCATTGACTAACAGGAGTCACTGAGCACCAATAATCTATAGGCCACATGAAGCTCTCAAGTCCTAAAATGACTGCTTTAAGAGTACTAACAAATGTGGCATGTTGTTGTTTGTTACTGTGTGCCATCGAGTCGATTCTCAACTCATAGAGACCCTACAGGACAAAGTAGAGCTGCCCTACAGGGCTTCCAAGGCTGAAATCTTTACAGGAGCACATCACCAGGTCTTCTCTTGTGCAGAGCCACTGGGTAGGTTTGAACCACCAACCTTTCAGATAGCAGCAGCATGCTTAACTGTTGCACCATGAGGGCTCCTTAACGAATGTGGCACAGGGGAAATAAATGGTTTCACAGAGCCCTGAGAACTGTGGTCAGAAGCTGGGTACTTCTTCAGTGGCTAGATATTAGGTTTCCCTCCAATTTGCTTCCCAGACAATGAAAACAGGGCCAGAGAGGTTCTCCTGTGCTCTGCTGCAGTTGATTTCTGCTGTCTCTCATAAAGACTGTAAAACTGAGAAACAACAGCCTTTTCATCTTTGCAATGTCTTTCCCTCACGGAGGACTGTCCACCTAACACATCCTCCATTGTTCAAAGTTCTTGAATCATATTTTCCATTGTTCTCAGAGATGAACTATATAAAAGCTGGTAAATTATATGGACTTAGTCCTGTTGCTCAGTTCGGGATGACCGTGCCTCACTTACAGACAAGGAGTTTATAGGATACTACATATATATATATACACACACACACACATACACACATATATATAGTATACTACTTACATATACTTTACTACATATATATAGTATACTACATACATACATACACACACACACACACACACACACACACATACATGATACAACAATCATGAGGATGGCACAGGACCGGGCAGTGTTTCAGTCTGTTGTACACAGTATTGCTATAAGTCGGAAGCAACTCGACGGCACCTAACAACAACATTTTATTTGACTCCGTGGTGCCACATTTCCCTCTACCCACTAGTCCAAGCTGGAACTCTTCTGGTCACTTCAAGATACTTTCCTTCGAGGCTCTCTGGGCTTTCACGTTCAAGTGAGGCCCTCCAGCAAGTTCCTGACTCCTACGCTATCTGGTCTCCCACACTGGGTCCACTCTCCTGAATCACCCATGCATTCCAACGCTGCTGTCTGTCCTCTGACACAACTCACCTACAGGCTTGCTCTTCCATTTTACCGGCAGCACTCTTTGCTCCCTATCCTCACCTACGCTCTTCACATATATTATGTACATTATTCTTTCCTGAAATAAATCTCTGGCCCCATTGCTGTTGTTAGTAGCCAATGGGTCAGTGCCGATTCATGGCAACCTTCTGCATGACAAACGAAACATTACCAGTCCTGCACTATGCCCATGATCTCTGGTGGCTGTACCCATTGCTGGCGCTATTACTATAATATTGTTAATTATAATAATATAGTATAATTATGATATAGCTATATAACATTATATAATTACATATTATATAAGGAGCCCTGGTGGTAAAACAGTTAAGCACTCAGCTGCTAACCAAAAGGTTGGTGGTTTGAACTCACTCAGTAGCTCCTTGGGAGAAAGTCCTGGCAATTTGCTCCAGAAAAGATTACAGCCTAGAAAAACCCTATGGGGCAGTACTACTCTCTCACATGCAGTCACTATAAGTCTAGACAGCACCTAACAACAACATAAAAGATATGTATACGACATATATAATAAAATTATTTTATTATGATAATTATATTAAAATATTAGGCATCTGAAAACTGACATTTATAGGCAAAATAACTACCTTAGACAGCTATATACACACACACTCACATGCAACACTGATTTTAGATGAGGAAGTAAGTTTTCTTTTAGGCAAACTGACAAGAAAAATAAAAATCCAGGCCAGACTTTTTTTTTTTTTAATTCTGGTGATTATGGCCCTCACTATAGCCAAGCCTAACATTTCAGATACATGGCCACACTCTGTTCTCTGAAAATCCTGTTCTGGTTCAGGATGAACTCAGGATTCAAACTGGCCTGAGGGGGAAAAAAAATATCAACCAAGTCTAAGAACCCTGTCTTGGTTATCTAATGCTGCTATAACAGAAATACCACAAGTGGGTGGCTTTAACAAACAAAATTTATTTTCTCACAGTTTAGGAGGCTAGAAGTCCTAATTCAGAGCGCTGGCTCTAGAGAAAGGCTTTCTCTGTCAGCTCTGAAGGAAGGTTCTTGTCTCTTCAGCTTCTGCTTCCTGGTTCGTTGGAAATTTCCTTGTGTCTTGGCATCTATCTTACCCCACTGTTCCTCCCAAAACAGACTGACTCAAGATACACCCTACATTAATCCTGTTCATTAACATAACAAAGACAACCCATTCCCAAGTGGGATTATAACCACAGGCATAGAGGTCAGCATTTACAACACATACTTTGAGGGGACATAATTCAATTCATAACAAGCCCTTTGGTGGCCACTGGGATTGGCTTGGCTTCTCAGAGACCTTTCAAAGACCAGGACAAGATAGGATCAGGTCCTCTTGGGGTCAGATCTGCTCCTCAAAAATGGCACCAGGCACAGACTTCGTGGGATTTGGTTTAGATTTACATCACCCGGCCGTTAAATGAGTCAGAACCTACTCAATGACAATGGGTTTGGTTTTTTCAGTTTGGCCGTTAAACTGTATACAAGCCCACAATATCTGCTGGGATATAAAGATGGATTAACTGAAATTAAAATTAAGAATCATTTTCATGACTAGCTTTAAAACCTATTTAAGTAATTCAAATAAAAATTTTAAATATACTTCAACGATACTTATTTCCAAGTTGTTTAAAAAAAGAAAAAAGAAAAACCTCTAAGTTCAGATTCTTTAAGTATCTTTGGGAATTCTATTCCTGAGCTCTATTTCAGTAATTCATTTTTGAAAGCTGAGATTAAGTGTAATTTTCTCCATAAAAAATCTCATTGTCTAAAAGAGACAACTCTTACACTTTTTTTCCTGACATAATACTTAATCTTTAAGTAATTCATGAGCTAGTCACTACTTCAGAGAAATGAGCAAACCACTAAGGATGTGTGTTAAGATCCAACATAGTTTAGGAGGCTGTTTTCATACTATTTTATCCTACTGGAAACAGGAAGTAATAATCTCATGAGAGTTTCTGCTTCACTTCCTTTTTGCTCCATCTGTGCCAAAGTTCAAATAAACTTGGATCTGTATTAAAATATTTAGATATTTATCCAAATCAAATCTTTATGTAATAATTCCTATGAATAAAAAAATTATGGATATATTTCTGAGGAGAATCAAGAATTGAATATAATCCTCCATGTTGCAAAGTCTAGTTTTTCAATTATGTTAACTGCTACAGGAACCATATAAACGTGACCTGGCAATCAGAATAAAACTGTAATCATTTTCCAAAGCATTACTTTTGAGTAAGACTGTGAATATATCAATCCAGTAATGGTAATCTTTCATGAATGCTGGAGAAAATGATTCCATTTTAGACAAAAAGGTGTATTCTTTATATGTACTAAAATTTTGAAAAGCACTGCCATTTTTAGACAAAAAGATACTGGCATTTAAAATCAGCTAACAGCATTGCTTAGAATCAGTTCTTAGTTTATAATTTTTTTCTAACTCATAGATACTTT